CTATATCGGTCTGTTAGCAGTGGTCTGCTTCCTGCTGGCCTTCTTTGCCCAAAAGCTTCCAGACAATATCAATGAAGCTAAATAAAATACTTTCAGCATGTTGATCTTCTGTGCTGTGTGGATTTTGTTTGTGCCAGCATACGTCAGCTCACCACAGAAGTACACGTTAGCTGTGGAGATTTTCGCCATTTTGGCTTCCAGTTATGGCCTTTAGCTGTGTATATTTACCCCAAAATGTTACATCATTCTGCTTAATCCTGAGAAAAATACAAAAAAAAGAACATGATAGCCAGACAAGCTCTAAAGATTTTCTGACAAGACTACATTTTTACAGAGTGCAAGATATCTTTGTAGAAATATATTATGACAATAACAATAAAGCTGTGCATTAATTAGTTTGATGAAATTCTAATCTAAATTTTGCAATATTATATGTTTGTATTTTGTATGTTGTAATTTTGGTGCATTTCTTATGGGACTCCTGTTAATTTCTGACTCTGGAATGTGCATGGCATGATGGTGGAGGGTGGGGCTCTTTCTCAAGAGTGAAATGGGTAAAACATAGCAAACATTTGTTATTTTTGTCCATGTAATATACATTTTAAAGTCTTAATGTAATATATATAATGTAATATATATATATGTAATAATATATCTTTTTTTCCCCCATATTGTGACGTAGATGTGAGTGAAATGGATTATCGAAAAAGAAAAAACAAAATGTTGGACAGGGACTTGGTGTTATCCATTGGTTGCTGATAGGATGGAAGCAGATCTGAATGTGAGCTTGGAGTCAATTGTAAGAAAGGGGTGGGATTTAAGTGTCCTAAATAATTAGAGAATTCCGGGATACATCTGTAATGTAAGGTGGCGTGACAACAGAGATGAGGATCCAAAAGCAAGGCTTTATTAAGAGCGCAGTCATAAAAAGGTCAAACGGTCAAAACACCAGCAAACAACAAAGGCAGAGGCAAGGCAAAAGAGAAATCCAAACAGTAGGCAATGGTCAGGGCAGGCAGCAAATGATCAAAAAAAAGGTAAACAGTCCAAGACAAAACAAGGCAAGGAAAAACAAGGAACCAGGGAAACACGAGAAAGCACACAAACTAGGAATACGCTACAGGCTAACAATACACAGCAATGTGAGTGTATGTGAGTGCATCTTATATAGTCCTCCTAATAGAAAACATGTGTTGTCCGATAATGAGTTCCTAGGCAGGGGTATCTGGGAAATGGAGTCTGGGGTAGAGCAGTAAAGGTAAGGGATGGAGTGCCCTCTAGCGGAGCTCATGGGCACTCCAGCTGCAGATCGTGACAACGTCACTAGTCATTATGACATTTTGATTAAATACTATGAGTGCAAACAAATTTTAAAACAAATTTTGAAACATATCCATTGATAAATCATTATTACATATCCCAAGATGCAACAAATTTAAAGGTAAAAAGGGAACGAGCTCCCCACTCAACCATCATACCAAAACTTGTCAGACAGTAACAGCTCCACAGTGCAGTGCCTCCCCAGAGAATTATATAGAGCTAAATTCATAGTTGAAAGCAGCGGCATATCTGGCACTTTACTGTTTAAAAGACATTGATATTGGCAAAAGTGGCATGTATCAGAAAGACATTGAGTATACAGAGAGAACAGCTGCAAACAACCGACAAACATTAATAACAGCTTTAGAAAAAATGAAGAGACCACTGCATCTCTACATGTATAGCAGCTATTCCATTCCGGTGTCTGTTAAATTCCAACTCAGGCACACCTCTGCTTAATGAAGTACTGATTAGGTAATCACCTTAGCCAAATCTTAACAAGGAAACGTATAAAACCACTGCTGTGGTCATCACTATCCTCTTGCAATAGGACCAGCTGGATGGCAAAAATAGTGCTAGTAGTACCTCAAAAGTAATTGGAATCAAATAATAACCATTGGCCATGCCAAAATAGTTAAAAAAAAAACTCTGAATGAGGAAAAGAAGGGTTCAATTCAGGCTTTTCTGGCAAAGGGATACAGTGAGTGTCAGGTTACTTCCATCATTAAAATTTCGAAGACAAGTGTTCATTAAAACAAGGTCAAGCTGTAGACATTGGGGACAACACAGCTACAGACCGGCAGAGGGCAAAAATGACTCTCCACTGACAGGAATGACCACCAACTCATTTGAATGCCACTCAACAACCGTAGGATGTCATGAAATGACATACAAAAAGAATGGCAAATGGAAGCTGGGGTGAAGTGCATGGCGAGGACGGATTGAAACTGGCTCCTAGGGGCAGGGCAAAGCTAGAAAAAAGCTCTTCATCAAAGTGAAGCAAAGAAGAGCCAGGCTGAGGTTAGCAAAAGACCATACGGATTGGACCATAGAGGACTAGAGGAAGGTCATCTTCTCTGATGAGTCCAGTTTTCCACTTTGCCCAACACCTGGTCATCTAATGGTTAGACTGAGACCTGGAGATGCCTATAAGCCACCCGCTTTGAAAATTTGGTGGATGAAAGGTGATGATCTGGGGGTGCTTCATCAAGGCTGGAGTCGGGCTCATTAATCAAGCAATGTACAAGGTTGTCCTGGAAGAAAACTTCCTTTATTCTGCTCTGACAATGTTCCTCAACTGATTTTTTTCTTCAGCAGAACAAGACCCTTTCATGGCCAGCCCAAAATCTCCAGACCTGAACCCCATTGAAAACCTCTGGTGATCAAGAGGAAGATGGATGGTCACAAGCTATCGAACAAAGCCAAGCTGTGTGAATTTTTAAACCAGGAGTGGCATAAAGTCACCCAACAGCAATGTGAAAGACTAGTGGAGAGCATGCCAAGATGCATGAAAGCTGTGATTGAAAATCAGAGTTATCCCACCAAATACTGATTTCTGAACTCTTCCTAAGTTAAAACATTAGTATTGTATTGTTTAAAAAGGAATATGAACTTTTCGTTGCATTATTTGAGGTCTGAAAACACTGCACCATTTTTGTTATTTTGTCATTTTCTGTAAATAAATGCTCTAAATGACAATATGTTGGATATGTTTGGATATTGGGAGAAATGTTGTCAGCAGTTTATAGAATAAAACAAAAATGTTACCTACAAAAACATACCTACAAATAGTAAAACCAGAGAAATGGATATGTTAGCTGTGGTCTCTTTTTTCCAGAGCTGTCAATTCAATTCAAGTTTATTTGTATAGAGCTTTTCACGATACAAATCGTTGCAAAGCAACTTTACAGAAAATTAAGTTTCTACAATATATTTAGTAGTAGCTTATCAGTGGTGACTGTCAGTTAATGTACATATGGCAGAAATGTACGGAAAAATCAATTAAGGACGTAATCAAAAAGACGAACACTATTACCAGCAATTATTATGTTGCAATCAAACTTATAGGAACATTTGGTAGTTCTGTATGTTGTTTCAGGGTTGGCATCATCTGAGGTCCTCTGAGGGGTTGACATCATCTCGTCTCAGGTGTTCTGGATCCAGACCGAATCTTGTGTAAATCCGCAGAAACAGAGAAACAAATAGAGACATAATTAGCGTAGCTGCTGTTCCAACCAAGCAAAATTGATTTGTTTAACCCAAGCTAAAGAATAATAATGTGCATTTGATCAGATATAACTTCAGTACAAGATTATGAGATGCATTATTTGAATGCTTGGCCAAAGAGATGTGTCTTTAATCTAGATTTAAACAGAGAGAGTGTGTCTGAACCCTGAATGCGAAACGCCAAATGCAAAAAAACTCTACCTCCTTTAGTGGACTTTGCTATCCTAGGTACTACCAAAAGTCCAGAGTTCTGCGACCTTAGGGAGCGTGATGGATTGTAGCGTGGTAGAAGACTAGTTAGGTACGCAGGAGCTAACCCATTAAGGGCCTTATAGGCAAGTAATAATATTTATATATTATATATATAAAGCACAAAGAAAAGTGATATTGGTGATATTAGTGTCCAAAAACTGAATAATGCTGTATAGGAAGGCATCAAGGCACTTTCAAATCCAACGTTAGCTTCACTTCCTGGCTCCTGTGATGCCTTCATTTGATCAATGGTGGACAGGGGACATCATGGTCATCAGGGGTCATCATGGACACTCTGATCAATCTGCAACTATGCAGCCCCATAAACAGCATTAAGTTTTTCAGCAATCTGAGCTACAGCAGCTCTTCTGTGTGATGTTACCAGATGGACAAGCCTTCGCTCCCCACGTGCATTAATGAGCCTTAATGCACGTGCACCTCTTCGTTGCACCACTTTTGGTAGGTACTAACCACTGCATACTGGAAACATCCCACAAGACTTTAAGACTCTGCCACGCCCCCCTAAAATGGCTCGTTCTAACACGCCCAAACATATCTACCTCACTATGTGGAAATATTTGCATATTGCCGCCCAAATGTGCATGCAAAGAAAGAAGGCGTGGTTTCAGTAACCGCAGTTAGTGTTGAAGCAGCCATGTCAGGGAGACGCTGTGTGTTTCTAGGCGAAAGCAAAATCTTCTCAGCTGCTCTCACGATGCGCTGAAGTGTCTTGCGGCAGGATGCGTTGCAGGCACCATACCACACAGTGATGCAGCTCGTCAGAATGCTCTCGATGGTGCCTCTGTAGAAGGTGTACATGATGGGGGCCGGGGCTCTGAATCATGATTAGCAGTGAGGAATTGTATCAGTATGTCACATCGATATTGCTTCCAATGTATTAGTCAAACATACAGTATACAACAGAAGTGAGTACACCCATGTAGCATCACTATAAATCACGATACAACACTATTCAAGTTGAAAAGTATAGTATTTATAGTACAGGTCAGGCTAAATTGTTATGTAGACATGCATTTTCTGTAAAGCTGCTTTGAGAAGTTAGTGTACTCTAAATACATAAAGTGTAATTGTATAAAGTGCAAAAACAGCAGCAGTGCTGTTGGTTGACATCACCTCTTCGTCTGCAAAGACAATCCAAACATCCAGTGGGTTCCCTCATGACATTTCCTCTTTCTCCTCAACAGCAATGATGGGGACTGCTGCCTTCTGCACCTGGTCAGGCTCCTTTTTCTAAATGCATTAAAAAAAGTGTTAGTATGTCACAAAAAATCATAAAATTAACACTTGTGTGGAAAGACATTTAAATGTTCATAAATGAAAATAAAGGTGTGAAGGATCAGAGTAGTGTTTATTCAGTAAGGCGTGTGCCCATTTAAAACCTTGTAGTACTTTTCAAAAACTTGTAGTAATTTTCACGTTTTCCAGAGCTGTTGGTCAACTGGATTTAATTGGGAAAAACTTTCAGGGTGTATCAGCTGAATGTTCTTGAGATTGAATTGAATTGGATTTGTCATTAATAAAACAACCAAATAAATATAAATTAATAAATATAAATAATAAATCAACACACCTTTATACAAACCCAAAGCAACTTTAAAATAAGTGCAAGTGGAAATATAACACAAAAGACCTTTTTTAAAAATCCATATTAAGAAAGCCTACTATAAGTAGAACTTTCAAGACCCAACTTGTATTCTTCTGAAGCACAATGACTCTGAATCAAAGGCAAACTGAAATTGAATATGTTATTCATTCTGCCAATACAGTCTGAATAAAAAATGGTGGCACAAACATCAAACATTACATCAAACATCATTGGTCCTTGAATATCATGATGGCATTCATGTGGTGTGAAAGAACCAATAGCCTATTTGTCTGGGCTGTGTATGCATCAGTTGATCAATGTATAGATTTCAATTTCATTCTAAAATATTGTACTGCTTCAGAAGACCCATTTGTGCTGCTACATTTGCAAAAATAGCAATTCATCCAAAAATGAAGAAATATACTTAATCTTTCATAAAGTGATGATTTTCATCTCGCATAACACTAAAACCCATCAATTAAATCAATGTGAATTCTACTTAAAGGTGACATATCATGAAAATCTGACTTTTCCAGGTTTTAAGTGCTATAATCAGGTCCCGGTGCATCTACCAACCAAGGAAACGTGAAAAAGTTTAACCCAGTAACTTTGTTTTGGGAAACCTTTTTCTGCAAGCGTCTGAGAAAACGAGCGCGTCTGATTTTGGTCCCTTGGTGACGTGGCAAAGGGATTTCATTATAATATTAACGCCCCTTAATCTCTAAGTTTCCATCCACGGCGCCGTCATCGTGTTTTCGCAAGTGACAACGGTGTACCAGCTCTAATGCCATGGCGAAAGTTTGAGCAAAACCTACTAAATGTTCTGCCTTTGTCTGCACAGACGAGCACAGAACACTATTTAGATCTAAAATAAGCATGCAATTTATTTCCCAGCAGTTTACCTTCACAGACATAACTGACTGTTTTTGTAACTCGTGTATTTTTAACGTAAACTTGTGTGTGAATGAGAACTTAGTTTAGTTCTCACATGCTGTGTGGTGGCCGCTTTCTGTCCATGTGCTTCGGATGTGTGCTCTCAGAAAACCTTATATCAGAAGTTTAAACTCATATGATTTAAACCGCATGATTTCAGCGCAATAAACATGATAATCAGAACCATAACAGATGTTTTTAGCAGGTCCGAGCTGTAACGGCGCAGCTCTATTCTGGAAAAGGGGGCGGGGAGCAGCAGCTCATTTGCATTTAAAGACACAGGCCCGAAAAACAGGGTATATTATATATTGTAAAAAGGGGCATAATATGTCTCCTTTAACTTACTTAATTTTAGGCTCGTAGTATTGCAGCCATCTTGTTGCCTTTGACATCCCAGCACTCCATGGTGCCTTTGCTCTGAAAAAAATTGATTTAAAAAAACATATGCAAGTATGAGTTTCAAATAAAAAAACGTGAGGAGCAAATATCAGTCTGAAATGGTAAATAACGTTAGCAAAACAGCCATCATAAATGCTCCTCGAGCCAATTTGTTTACCGGGGCTTCAGCTGCATTAGTAAACTTAATAAGCATCACATGGATATGCTAGATGAAACTGACGAAGCGGATCATAAATAACAATTAACAAAAAGTTAAAAGTTATTGTAATAAAGTGAATGGGTGGGTTTGTCTAACTTACCTGTTGTTTTAGTTTCTGTGGCGTGAGTGTCGGTTAGATATGTCAGCTGTCTTTCTGGTTTAAAAGACAAAAATCACCGGACTTGTTTGTCTCTGTCCGACTGAGAAAAGCACAAAAAATATTTCTTATTTTCCCATTGACAAACTGAGGTGTAAAACACTGCATATTTAACACTTGCCGTTGATAGCTTTGATTTAATGGGGTGTTAATTCCTCTTTTCTAGCTAATACATTAGCGTTGCCTAGCTGGTTAATCTTCAAATAATAAGATACGACAATAAATCACAAACATTCAAAAGTGCTTTAAATAGGTATAAACAAGCTTGAAATGCTTACCTTCTTCTTCTTCCTTGGTGTTTATTGGCGGTTGGCAAACCAACTTGTAGGTGCATTACCGCCACAAAATGCTTACCTTCTTCTTCTTCTTCTGGTATTAATGGCGGTTGGCAGACCAACTTGAATGGTGCATTCCCGCCACCTACTGGATAGGAGTGTGTATTGCATAATGGTTGGGAAGTTGGAAAACAATAACACAAATGACAATGGGGGAGGGGAGAGAGGAGAGAAAAAAAAACCTTTCTTTTAATACAACGGTATCTTAAATTCTATTAATCAGTCTTGTTTCTTTTAGGAAAATAATTAATTCATGAAATATTCTTGATTGTTTTGGGCCATTTCCTAACAGAACCTGAGGTGACAAGTTATTTATTCCCAAAGATCTTAAAGCTTGAATTAGTTGAAATCTTGCTCTTTCATATGCATCACACTCAATAAGTACGTGTTCTATTGATTCAACATGACCACATTTATCACAATTTCCAGTTTCATGCTTTCCTATTCTATACAGACACTGATTTAACAAACAATGACCAATACGCATTCTTGACATTAAAACGTCATCTTTTCTATTACCAATGTTACGGCCGGCTCGTGGCTGCAACAAACCAAAGGAGCCATCCACCAAAAATTTCATAGTAACTACCAAAGTTTATCACATAATTCTAGGGGATTCACGTATGACATTAAGCGGCAATTTGAAAAGTCCAGAATACGGCAAATGACAGATCCCGTCAAGCGAAGCAATCCAACACCAGGAGGAGATGATGTCACTTCTCCACACGCCCTCCCCTCATGCCAATAACCGGAATACTTATATCTCCCACTTCCTAATTGAAGCAGGTGATCCTAATCTCTCCTGCCACCTACAAGAGAACAAGAGAAAACAATGAAAAAAAACAAATAAATTAACACCCTTACACCATAACACCTCCCCCCTTAAAAGAGAGGATCCTTGCAAAGGACCTCCAGTACTGTGCCTTCTCAATCTGATCCCCCCCTTCGCAACTCCAATAGCAGCAACTCTGGATATACCTAGGAAGAACCACAGTCACAATAAGGGAGAACAGAACACAAATACATCAACTAAATCAGTCACAAAGACTCTCACACGGGGCACGAGATAAAGCATCAGCCAGCACGTTCTCCACACCCTTGATGTGTCGAATCTCCAAAGAAAAGGGTTGTAAAAAGAGAGACCATCGAATAAGACGCTGGTTTGGGCCCTGCAAAGAGTGCAAAAAGGTAAGTGGATTGTGGTCTGAAAATACCACAATTGGAAAGGTTCCACTTGTTAAAAATTAAAAAAAACTGCAAAGCCCAAATCAAAGCCAAAGCCTCCTTTTCAATGGTGGAATAATGCAACTGGTGAGACTTGAATTTCCTGGAAAAATAGCAAACTGGTCTTTCAATACCGTGTACATCAATTTGTAACAGTACCAATCCAGCTCCAACATGACTGGCGTCTACCTGGATTTGAAAAGAATGTCCAATGCGTGGGGCAGCCAACACAGGTGCCGTGCTAAGTAGCAACTTCACATTTTCAAAAGCTTGTTTACACAGCAAGGACCACTCAAATTTCACATTCTTCTTCAGCAAATCAGTCAGGGGGCTACCACTGAAGAACAATTTGGGCAAGAATTCCTGTAATAGCCCACCATACCCAAAAACCACATAAGCTCTTGTTTCGTGTTGGGTGGAGGAAACTTATCGATTGCCAAGACCTTTGCCCGCACTGGACGTACCTTATCCTGCCCAACTACTTTCCCCATATAGGTCACAGTCGCCTTGGCGAACTCCCACTTCGCCAAGTTGACCGTGAGCCTAGCCTCCACCAAGCGCTCAAAAAGTGCTCTGATATGTAAAAGATGTTGCTCCCACGTATCACTATATACAACCACATCATCTAAATAGACAGCACATCCATCTAACCCAGAAGTTACACGGTTCATCAAGCGCTGAAAAGTAGCGGGTGCATTTCGAAGGCCAAAACTCATAACAGAGTAAGAATATAGCCCAGAAGGGGTAATAAAAGAAGCAATCTCTTGTGCACGAGCTGTTAACAACACTTGCCAATATCCTTTTAGATACGATACGTCCCATCCGGCTTCCTCACTAATAAACAAGGTGATGCCCAACTTGAGAAAGAAGGTTTAGCGATGTTATTTTCGATCATATATTTAAATTCCGACTCAAGATGTTGCTTATCCAAAGAAACACGATAAAAATGCTGACATATTGGTGTTGCATTACCAACATCTATATCGTGTTCTATCAAATGAGTGCGTGAAGGAGAATCTGAAAACAACATAGGAAAACCTGAAATCAAAGCTAGCAATTCAGCTCTCTGAGGAAAGGGCAGATGTTGCACAAAATCCTCCAAGTTATTTAAAACTTCAGAGTTATTTAGTCGGGGCCGCAACATACCATCCCCAGGTTCTTCAACATCCTCTGCAACTTCCATCACAGGAGAAGCCACAGCTGCTGCTACTGGAATCTTCTCCAAATCCCTAGAACAAGAGTAAAAAGGTTTTAGCAAGTTTACATGGCACAACTGTGAACGTCGCTTTCGTTCAGGAATTGAAATCAGGTAATTCTGATCAGAAACTTGACGAATAACCGTATCCCGGACGAGCCCCCATTTGTTACGGCCGTCTCGTGGCTGCAACAAACAAAGGAACCATCCACCAAAAATCTCATAGTAACAACCAAAGTTTATTACATAATTCTAGGGGATTCACATAATATACCATGACATTAAATGGCAATTTGAAAAGTCCAGAGTACGGCAAATGACAGATCCCGTCAAGCGAAGCAATCCAACACCAGGTGGAGATGATGTCACTTCTCCACACGCCCTCCCCTCATGCCAATAACCGGAATACTTATATCTCCCACTTCCTAATTGAAGCAGGTGATCCTCATCTCTCCTGCCACCTACAAGGGAACAAGAGAAAACAATGGAAAAAAACAAGAAAAATAAACAAATAAATTAACACCCTTACACCATAACACCAAACTTTCTTCTTTCTAGACCTAACTTCTCTTGAATGTGATAAAAATGTCTGCCTTTTATTCCACTATCCCACTCCTTCTGCCAGTTTTTTCTTATTTCTTTTGCAATTAACCCTTTTATTTCTGTTTTACTCATTGACACTTTAATCTCAATAGACTCTATGCGCGGTCACTTCCGCGTTTATTCTCAGGGGGCGCGTTTATTTCCGGCACTGCACCGGAAGCTATTGTTCTTTACCAAGAGCTGTCAAAATGAATGAGGAGAATATGAATATGATTTTACACTTGCTGCTTGCAAGAACTTACCAGGATTACCGTTAATTATATCTGTCGTATTGTGAGGCTGTCAGCTGTCACGCTGTCAAGTAAAATGGAGAAGGGCAATACGTTTCAAGTTACATAGACAACTTTGAGGGTGAGTATTATAATTCTATTGTCTATTAGCAAATCAAGCTCATGAGGCTGCATAACCCCCCAATTTTATGCCGATTCTTAGCTGTAAAATAGAATGATTTCATATGTATTTCTATATTAAAGGGGTCATATGATGCTTTTTTAAAGATCATTATTTTGTGTATTTGGTGTAACAGAATATGTTGACATGCTTTAATGTTAAAAAAACACATTATTTTTCAAATACTGTACATTATTGTAGGTCCTCTATGCCCCGCCTCTCTCAAACGCTTCGTTTTCTACAAAGTCCCTCCTTTGACAAGCGCAGTCTGTTCTGATTGGCCAGCTGACCCAGTGCATTGTGATTGGCCGAACACCGCAAGCACTCGTCGGAAATGTAATGCCCCTTACCATAATCGCGAGCAGAGAAAGGAAAACTGGAAATCGCATCATATGACCCCTTTAAATTATTTTATACCATTTGCTATTTTCTGCACTTAAATAAACGGCATCAACAAGTATAAACCTGATAGCAGCAACAGCACTCTCGGTGTGATAGGAACGACTTCACATGAATAGCATAATCCTGCTTAAATCTCTTTCTAACTGGCCATTCTTATATTTTCAATGTTTATTAGAAATACAATTTTATTAGTAATACATAGTGTTACCCACATGATTGTAAAGCGCTTTGGGTGTACAGCAATACACAATAAAGCACTATATAAATGCATAATTCATTCATTCATTCATTTATTCAATACTTATTATCTTATATTGTACTTTTTTGTTATTATTATTATTGTACCTGTACACCTGGCTGATAGGATCTACAGACTGCAGATATGAAGAGAGGTCTTGAAATGAAATCTGCAGTTTTTCATGAATATTGTCTGTTGCGAGAAGTTAACTTCTATCTGCCTGGATTCACCCAGATGCACCTTGGTTTGGGGCATCTCTTGCTGGCATCTTTTATGACCCTACAGAGCACCCAGTTTTCAGTCTTTTGGAGGTAAAGTGCCCAAATGTAAATAGGTACAGTGACTGCCCATAACTTAAGATTCAGAATGGCAAACCAGAACTGAAACAGCAGCATGCATATTATTGGCAAGTTCAAGGTCAGATGCTAATCTCAGGATTTGACGGGTGTGATTTTGTTGTATATGCACAAAATGACATGATGATCCAGTGCGTCTACAAAGACACCAAAATGTTTCAAATGATCCGAGAGAATGCTGACCTTTTCTTTTTCTTTTGCTTCTACCTGCCAAGATACCTACAAGTGTGTATGTGTGTGTGTATATATATATATATATATACGTTTTTTTTATGTAACCA